TGCCTTAACGTCAGCGTTCTCGTCTGGTATCTCCACGTCTCGCAGTGCCTGTTTCAACAGATAATCATTTACTTCGAGGTTCTGCTTAGCGTAGTCAGCCTTGATACCTTTCTTTATTTCTTCAAGGATTTTCGCCTTGTTTGCTTTCAGAGCATCTGCCTTGCGAGCATCCTCCAACTCCTGCATCTTCTTCTCCTGCTGTTCCCTGTAGGTCTTAAACCATGCAGGCTCGTTTGGGTCGTCATCAGGCTTTGGCGTAGGATTCTTCTTCTTCCAATCCTCAATCCGGGTAGATACATCGTGGTTTATCTGACCGTCAATAGTCTTGGCAAGATTGATTTTACGCTGAATGAAATCATCGGTAACACGGCTGTCATCATCACCGATTTCTGCAAGGGCATCTTGCAATACTCCATCCAATGTTCTGTCGCTTAATTGTAACTTGGTGCTTCCAAGTGCTTCATTAAATTTACCTTTTAGTGCTTCTAATTCCATAAATTTAAGTAAAAAAATAGATGTTTACTCTACAAATATAGACATTTTTTCTCTAATTTCCAAATTTTTTTGTATATTTGTGTAGATATTTTGTCTAATTTATGCAAATATACGAGAAATTCACAGACGATAAAGGCAATAAGATATACACACAAGAGTATATCCAGTCATTGCGAGACCAAGACAGAAAGAAAAGCGATAGTCTAAAGATTATCGCTCAGAAGGGTGCGCAAGAACGTATGCTTGCACAGAATGTTGACATACTTATCGGAGGTGGAAATCGCGGCGGCTCCAAAACTTTCTCGTTACTTCTCAAAGGTCTGTACTACGTTTGGAGTCCTCATTTCAACGGTGTAATCTTTCGTAAGGAGAAGCCTGACCTTAACGGCATCATTGACGTACATGAGCAAGTGTATAGCCAGTTTGGAACATATAACCGCTCTGACAATGACAAGGCGTGGTATTTTGATAACGGTGGTAAATTGCAGTTAAACTACTACAACGATACATACGAAGACTTCAAAGACCGCTTCCAAGGTCATCAGTATTCTTATATCGGCATTGACGAGATTACTCAGATGCCATACAATAAATTCAAGTATCTCGTAACGTGTAACCGTAACGCATACCACTTGAAGAACTTTATCTATGGCACCTGTAACCCAGACCCAGACTCATGGGTACGTATTTTCATTGATTGGTGGATTGGCGAGGATGGTTATCCTATACCAGAGCGTGATGGCGTAGTACGTTACTGCTTCATGGATGGTGACGACCCTAACAATATCTATTGGGGAAATACGAAGGAAGAGGTTTACGAGCAATGCAAAGGTATTATTGATTCCATGTGGAAAGAGTCTTATGCAGAGCTCGGTCTGTCAAAGATGGACTTCATCAAGTCTGTCACATTCGTCAAGGCAGCATTGGAGGATAACGCAAAACTGCTTCTCTCCGACCCTACATATCTCGCAAACCTTGCAGGACAGGATGAGGAACAGCGTATGCGTGACCTTGACGGTAACTGGAACTGGAAATCAACAGGCTCCGACCTTATCAAGATGTCAGACCTCGAAAAATGCTTCAATAACTCACAGCAGACATTCGATAACAAGAGGCGTGCTTCATGCGATATTGCTTTTACTGGTGGAGATAACCTTGTAATGTGGCTTTGGATAGGATGGCATGTTGCAGATTTGTTCGTTTGCAGATGTGACTCTCGTACTGTTGTCGCCACAGTAAAGGAGAAACTTGCTGAATGGGGTGTGTTGGAGGAGGATATGGTGTATGACCTTAACGGAATAGGTCAGTATTTCAAAGGATATTTCCCTACTGCTGTGCCATTCAATAATATGGGTGCTCCTATAGCGCAGAGCAGTAAGGACGAAAAGGGCATCAAGTATCTGTATGCTAACTTAAAATCTCAATGTGCGTACATATTCTACAAGATGATACTCGACCTTGAAATTTCCTTCGATGAACGTATTCTTGAACGTAAGTATTCCGGTGACGGATTTGAGAATGTTGCACTTCGTGATGTTCTACAAAAGGAGCGCAAATGCTTCCGTAGGTCTGATGCCTCAGAGGACAAAGGCTTTGCACTGATAAAGAAGAGCGAAATGAAAAAGATAGTAGGACATTCCCCGGACTTCTGGGAGTCATTGTTCTATGTTATGATATTCAAAGTTAAAAAACAAACTAAAAAAGCAAAAGGATTATGGATGTGGAAATAAAAGACGGATTGAAGCTTCGTGATATTTTGGTTAAGAAGCCGTTCTTGCAGATTACGGCTGACAGGTCATTAAGTTCTCTCGTTCATATCAGCGAGAAGAACAAGTACAATGCTGTTGACCCGGAGAATGATAACGCTACATATACCATTCTCACACAACAGGAAATGTTGCGCCAGTACTATCCTACAGGCCACAAGATAAACAACAGTGAACTGTTCCCTGATATATGGAAACAGGATCCAGACACAAAGATGTGGTTCAAGCAGGAGATTATACGTGTCCTTCTCGCTTTTCAGCAGATTATTGCGACAAAGCACACCATTCACCTCATTGGTAATGATGTGCAGTTTGAATTGTCCGATGACGAGCAGAAGCAGTTAAGCAAGAGAAAAGACGAGTTTGACGCAAGCAATACCGACCCTAACAAGGTGTTTGACGTAGAGGACGATGAAAAGGTTAGGCTCCTTGCTCTGTTCAAGAAGGGGTGGAACGACAAAGGAATGGAAATGTACATGTTCGATGCTATCCATTCCCTCATGGTTACGGCAGAGGCATGTATCGTAGGATATTTCCTTGATGGAAAGATTGGTTTTAGAAGGCTGTCATTCCTTGATGATGACAAGCTATACCCTCACTTCGATTCTATCACAGGAAAACTTACACTGTTTGCACGTAAGTACTTCGACTATGACGAGGACGGAAACACCATTACTGAATGGGTAGAGGTATGGGACGAGACGTATATGTACCGTTGCAGACGTGATGCGCGTGACAACAATACTTTCACAAAGATAAAGAACCTCCTTGGTCTTAACGGATATTCCATCATATCAAAGGAGAAGCACGGATTCAATTTCGTTCCTGTAGCATATTGCAGACATGACGAAGGCCCTTGCTGGGAAGCGGCACAGGACTCTATTGATAAGTTTGAGGAAGCATTGTCTTATTTCTTTGAGAACAACAAGGCTTTCGCTTTCCCTATCCTCTGTTGCGTAGGAGAAGGCGTAGAACTGATAGGTGACCAGAACGGTGCAGTAAAGTCTATTGCCATTGACTCAAAGGAAGGTGACGCACATTTCCTTGAAGGTAATGACGTATCAGCATCATACAACACACTCCTTACAAAGTTCTATGAACTGATTTACGAACAGTCATTCACCGTTAAGCCACCAGAGTTGAAATCAGGTGACCTTCCGGGCGTTGCTCTGAAACTTCTGTACTCTCCTGCCATTGAGAAGGCCATCAAGGACGCACAGGAATTACAGCCATTCCTCCAGACTGTTGTTAGGATGGTACGCTTCGGCATCGGTGTGGAAGAGAACAAGGTGATACCACTCCTTGAACTTGGAATCAACGCATGGATAGAGCCATACGTCCATCAGAATGACACAGAACTTGCTACAAACCTCGCTACAGCAGTACAGAATGGGTTCCTCTCTAAGCGTACAGCATCAGAGCGTAACAGCAAATACTCAAAGAATGACGAGTTCGCTCGTGTTTGCCGTGAGGAGAAGGAGAAGATGACCCTCGAAGTGACAAAGACGAATATGCAGACAGAGTTCTCCACAAACGAAGAGATACGCAAGAACAAGTCACAGGCACTTCTCAACGGCGGTCAGGACATCAATACTGGTGGTGGTAAGCATATCAACGAGACAGACGAGAACGGTAATCATCCCGGAGAAAATAATTGGGAGGACTATAATAGAACAAAGTACTCTGCGTTGATACCACTGCTTTTCAGCAAAAAGACAAGAGGTGTTGCAGAATCATATTCCATTACTCCAGAAGAGTTGGTTTTTTCCGACCTTCTGGCAAGTAATTGGGATATTGTTGACGCATATTTCGTTGCTTTCGGTAATCTTACATGGACAAAGGCAGCAGTAACACGTGCTGCTCGTGAGATAGCAGCAAAAATAGGCGTTAAGAAGCGCATAAAGGAGTTAAGGCGTGGAGAACTTAACGATATGGCGAAAAACGCGTCAGAAGAGCCGAAAAAGGACGATTTTGACGTTACAGATGCTTTATCGAAGGAACAGATGTTGAAAGATTTGTATCTTGCACGTAAAAAAATGACTCCAGGCAGTAAGGATTGGCTTGATGTGAACAAACTGATAGCAGATATTACTCGCATGAAGCAGGAAGAGATAAAAAAAGAGGAGAACATAGTACATTATTTCTTACCTCTTACATGTGAGCACTGTTCGTTATACAAGAAAAGCAAGGAAGAATAAGTTTTTTTCATAATTTGGTTAGTAAATAGTTGTTTTGAGTGGCAGGTTCGTGAGAATATGCCACTTTTTTATATGAAAAAAGGTGTCTGGTCATCACGACCAAACACCTTCTGATAGTAAACGAAAAAATAAAATAAAAGTTTAGTTCATTTTCTTTGAAATTCGTTCCTGATATTCCATCTTTAGCTTGTTTACGCCATCAATGTACTCATGGTCACCTATCAGCGAAGAGTTCTCGAAAAGAAGCAATACCAATCCGTTTAGTGCCTTTTTGTCGTCCTCGCTGTCGCCAAAATACATAATATCGTGATAAAGCGCACTATATACAGGCACCTCGATGGCCCATATTCCAGAGTTGTGCTCTATACGTACACACTGCACAGTTCTGTTCTGTGAGAGATACGCTATGTTCTCTGCATCCATCACGCCATCATTCTCAATGGCATTGATGTTATCGTCTGTTACGTACTTTTCAAATTCTATAATCTTGAAGTCGTTACCTACTTTCTTTTCACTGATTATGATCATAATATTTATTTTTTTAATCGTTTGCGTCAATGAAACCATCTTCGTCTTCGCCTTCTATGGCAAAAGACTCATTACGTATCACGAATGGGTCAAGGAGTTGTCCGAGACTAACACCATACATCTTGTATTCGTAGCCATCAGCAGTGCGCTTCTTGTCAAAGTAATGGTCAGTAAGGGTATGTCCTATCTTTTGCTTTGACGGACACTCTACGTCATTATCCCTACAGAAGTCCTCCACGCATCTTACCACCTCCTTTGCTGACACCCATATACACTGCTCGTTAGGTGCTTGAGGAATGCTTCTTATATGGTAAGCGTTAATCCATGCTACGATAGGGTTTCCTCTCAACTGAGCAAGGAGCAGCTGCCTTCTGCTTCCCTCTGAATCAGGGAACTGGAACTTACGCTTGCGTATCTCTTTTGTTCCTCGCAATATCCAGTTGAATATGCCGCTATACTCTGCTGTCAAGTCCTGTGCCAGTGTCTTGTTCTGATTTGCCTTTGGTATCGTCACATCGAATGAAATAAACTGTAGCCTCCTTATGAATCCGAGAGAGTTATCATCCGGGTAAGGCAACTCATTGAGATTGAAGATAAGGTATGGCAGATTGAAGTTCTGCGTTACGTTGTTACCTATGCTTCTATCCGTCACCGGCTCACCGCTTACTATGCGCTTGAAAACGCCTGTCCTCTTACGTCCGAATGTGCGTGAGTCAGAATCGGAAGACCAGTTGAATATCGCTTCACGAAGAAGCCTGCGTGCCCTCATTCCTTCATCACCCTGGCTTGTCAGTTCGTCATAGTCAATGCCGCTTATCCTGTCTCTTCCGAAGATACCCATTGCAGTTTGATATATAACGCTCTTGCCGTTTGCTCCTTCACCTATGAGTATAAGGCACAGCTCTATCTTAGGATGGTCCTTTCCTTCGCATTGGTTATATACGGTGCCTCTCTCTATCAATCCCAATCCAAGGAACATCTGCAATATGATACGGCTGCGCTTGTCCGGCAACACCTCTTTGAGAAATTTCTGCCAAAGGTTACACTTCGCTTTCTTGTCGTACTTGTAAGGGTGATAGTACATCACGTGATACTCCGGTGAGAAATCATGAAATGTAATGTCTGACAAGTCAAGGATGCCATTGCTGAACGCTACTATGTCAAGTCGTGGAGAAAGCTTGTTGCTTAGTTTAACCATTGGAAGGAACTCGTTTCTGAATATCTGCTGTTTCCTCTTCTGGCTTATCTTTAGTCCTATTCGTGACATCCACACCTTGAAGGCACCTTCTATGGCATCATTGCTGACAGCAACGTATATCTTACCGTCAAAGACATAGAAAGAGCCATCGAACCACTTCACGTTGCATTGCTGTGCTACCCTGTATATCTCGTCAACAAGGTCATTCTCCAAGTCAGGCATATATGTGAAGCGTGCCTCTCTGAAACTGTCTATGATATTCGGGAGCCTTGAATCTATACTGTCACTGATAGATTTCAGGTTCTCGAATACCACGTCTCTTGCTTTTAGTTCATCCATTTACTTAGAGTATTTCTTGATTACTTCAAGGTTTGCTATTATCTGTCCGAGGCCGATGAACAGCTCTTCCTTCTCGCCATTGTCATCAAGGACGATAACTGTAGGTACGTTCCTTATTCCGTACGAAGATGATATATCCTCACCTTCTGCTGTCTCGCAGTTGATAGTATCGTATTCTATACCGGCATCTGTCATTCTCTGTGATGCTATCTTACACTGTCCGCAGTGCGTAGTCTCAAATTTTAGTATTCTCATTTCCTTTTCTTGTGATTTTATAAGTACTGGCCATATTCCTTCGGTCTTATTCCTAACACCTTTGGTTCTGGCAATATGTTTACGTAGTATGGGAAAAGTATGTCGCCGTACATAGACTATTCTGTTCCTGTGTGTCCGTAACCACGTTATCCGCGCTCTGTCTCTGACAACTCTGAAACCTCTACGAGAAGTGAATCTTCTGATTTGTATATAGTTCCCTGTGCTATGCGCTCTCCGGCCACTACATAGAACGGTATATCGTTGTTCTTTACGATGACACCAACATTGCCTCTGTAGTCGCTGTCAACCTTTCCTACAAGAACGTCTGCATCAAAGCGTGTAGCAGGATAAGGCTCTCCATAACCATCAAGCCTGTGGCCTTCAAAGCCCTTTGAACTGAATCCGCTACGTGGCTCTATCTTGAACTCATAGCCATCAGGCAGTTCAATGGCGATGTCTAACGGTATGATATTACGTCCTGTCTTTACGAGTGTGAGGCGTGGCACCTTCAAATCGTACGCCACGGCACCTTTTGTAGCCTTCTGAGGTATAAAAGCCTCTTCACTGAGTTTCTTAATCTTTACTTCCATAGCACTTCTGTTATTGGTGTTTCTACTATGCCAGACACTGACCAGTCAAGCATTGATGACTTCATATACTCTGCCGTTATCTTCCTCGCATCGTCAAAGTCGTCTGCTTCAACGAGGAACGCTGTCTTGCTTTGCTTCTCCTTCTCTGTCTTCTCGTCAATGGTGACGATAGTGATTGTCACCTTATAGAAGTTATTGCCGTTCTTCTCTTCATCACGCACAAACTCTGAGTATGACGCACGTGAGACAGACACGATGTATGTTTCTGTTCCATCAACATACGATGCGATATGCTCCAGTGCCTTGTTCTCTGCATCACCGAATGTCTCTGTGTCAATACACAACACCTCTGTAATCTTCTGGTCGCCATTGACGTACTTCGCCTTGACCTCAAACCATGTCCTGTTAATTGCTTTCATTTCCATATCTATTCTATTTTGTTGTTCTACCACTTGCTTTACGTTTTGCTATACGCTCCTTTTCGTTGGCACGCTTGCGTTTCTCTTCCATGGCATCAATCTTCTTGTCAAAGACCTTTGAACGCATATTGATATACTTCTCTATACTATCGCAGTAGTCATGGAAAAGGTCATTCTCCTCCTCTGTGTGCATCTTAGTGAGCCCACTGCTGACCTTGAACATATTCTCCATGCTGGCCTTCAACGAGAACATGTTTATAATCTTCTGACCATCCTCAAGGGCATTAAGAAGGCCTACTGCATCATTGATATATCCCTGCGCTATGTCTGTCATGATATATATCCTTCGCATCACCGCCCAGAACTTATCACATATAGCCTTTTTCTCTGCATCACCTTCAAACTGCATAAAGAACTCCAATACACTCTGTGGATCTCCTTCCTTTGGCACATCGTCATCCTTGATACACTGCATAGCGAGATTAGAATACAACTCGTAAGACATCTTCTTGTCCATCTCGCATATACACCTCGCTATGATGGCAGGATTACTACCAGGCCTGTCTATTGACAAGCATAGCTTATGCCTCTTTTCAAGCATAGCATTCCACTTCTCTGTACCTAACAGCATGTCAATGCATCTACCATAATGCTCTCCTTTGAACCTTCCAAGGTCAAAGTCAAACATATCAGGAGAGAACTTCTGACTTACAACAATCCTCTTTGTCTTTACATCATTTCTTTCCATATGAACATTATTAGCATTGCGTTAATAAAGGGACAAGGATATTATCTGCCTTATCCCTCTTTGAATCGTAAGAACGAACAAGGGAAACAGCATTCTCATACTCAGCAAAGTCTATAGGACTCCATGACTTCAAATTGTCAACGCTGATAAAACGCTTCTCCTTCATTACTGTCCTGTACTTGTCCAACTGGACTACTCTTATAATATCGGCTATGTTACTGCCGGTACTCACATTGGCAAATAATACTGCCTTTACAACTCCGTTAGGATTGATGAACTTCTTCTTGTAATAACCCATGATAACTTGTTTAAATAATATGGATATGCCACAAGGTTACGAACCTTATACTATACAGAGCATAGCACCAAGACATCTTGTGTGGCATATTTCGTCTTCGCTAAGACGCAAACCTAAAATAACTATTAACCAAAGTAAAAAATAACCCTCACGAGCTAAAACACTAAATTAAAACAAAAACTAACCTTATAATTACTTATGTACCATTTCGTTCATTTTCGTGTATAAACACTATGTAGTACGCAAAATTTATTACGCACTGAAATTCAATACGTTAGACAATATCAACCAGTCTGAATGTACAAAAATGAGCTCTATAACCTCCTCACCTGTCCACCATTAGTCTGACCAATTAGACATAGTATCTATCATTTCGTTCACAAAGGTACTAAATATCTATGACTTTTGTTCACTTTTTTACATTTTTTTGTTCACTAAAATGTATATTATAGCATTTATTAACCAAAATAGGCTGTTCTGGTTAGATGCTTTGTCTATTTTTAACAGAAAAAATAAAAAAAATTTCGGTGGGAGGTCACTCGCCGCCCTTTCGCTCGCAGCTTCGTGGGGGGGGTGGGTATCTCATTGAATATTAATTCATTATGATTTAACATAGGTTAAAGTTGCGTTAACATTTCGTGCCTTAAGTGTATATTTTTACTAATTTTAAGAGTTAAGTGTTAATTTATACACTTTTAAACACTTTAAAAAGCGTATAACTAACACATTATCAATACGTTACAATGTTTTCAAATTGTTAGAAAAATTGATGTTAAAACGTCCTTTAAAGTTATAAATCGTAAGCAAAACAGAGTGAATGTCTTACACTTTTTATTCACTTTTCAGTGAATATTTATGCACTTGTAACTATCTGATTATCAATGTACTACAAGCATTCAAGACTAAAAATAATTGCCTAAAAATTTGGCGGTGTCACTTTTAATCGTTATTTTTGTAGTAGATAAAATTTAATATCTAAAGACTTTTTAACAACTAGTACTCTGCGTTGATACCACTGCTT